GATCCCATGGAGTTAACCTCGGAAGAAGCGATTAAGCTTGTATGGGAGGGGGCGATCCCTCTCCAGATTCGTCTTCACGAGTCCGAGATCACCACTCTCCCCTCGCCTCCCCCAATTCTGGTAACTGTTCCAATGACCAATCGCTAACCCTAACCCTAACCCTAACCCTAATCGCGCTTTTACTCTTCAATGCTGAAGCTTTGCGTGTTCAAGTTCAATTGTCACTGTTAGTCCCTTAACGCCCCCAGGGTTATGATACGACGCGCTCCTCGATGTTCTGTTTGAAACTAGCTTTTGCATTAGTTATTTTGCACCGCGATAGTTTCGGTGCTTAAAGACTGGATCTTGGTAGTGTTGGCTCTATGAATATAGAGATTTACTCACTTTGCTAAAACTATGGTCCGAATCATATTGGACTGAGTACATGCTTCTGATCTGGGAAGTGTAGTTAATGCGGTGATGAAACGTCTGCTTGTGATCTTATTTTTTTTTTAAAAGCTCTATGCGATCTGATTTCAGGTTTTAGGCCCCCGGCTTGGTTATCTGCCGTTGTTGATGCCTCTTATAAAGCCTCATTTCAGTAGCACGCTTCCGCCTGGCACCGACACTATTTGGTTTGATTACAGAGGGTTGCCGCTAAAATGGTACTTCAATTCTCCGTGCTATGTCTTTTCCTTTTACAGTTTTGTTATAAGTAACTTCAGACTTTCAGTCAATGTATGACCATCTGGATAAGTTTAAAGAGCCTCCTGTTGTCCGTAAGGATGAGAAAAGGCAGCGCAATATGATAATCGGAAGGTAAAGTATCAGCAGCATGCTTTAAATGGTGGCAATAGATCATAAAAGTGTCCTACTGGTATAACAGTTCCAGATATAGTAAGGTTAGGTTTATTGAAGTGGAATATTTATTAGTGATATGGATATTTTCATAACTAGTAGAAATGGCTTGCAACGGTGGTTCATGACTGGTGCAAGTGTTTGTGAAAAGGGACAAATTCTTGGAAGCTTAAGAACTCAAAAGGGTTGATTGTGTTCTTGCAAACGACTCGAGCAATTAAGGCAAGATAATATAATCACATCATGGCAAATAGGTTCCTATAAGTATTAGCACAAAACCCATATAAGACGTAAGTATCAGTTTGTTGACTATTAAAATTTTGCGTCAGGGTTAATTATTTGATACGTGTGGCCAAAATTTTATCAAGCAGCATCTTGGAACTCTATGAATATTATGTGCATCACTAATTAGAATTTGATAATGTAGCTGATATAACATTGCATTATATACAATAATTAACATGTCAATACATTTTTTTGGGTAATTGCTTAATATCTCTCTGTAGTTATTAAGTTTCTCTATTATCCCTAATTTCATGTCAATAGTTACTAATGTAATAACCTCTTTAGTGGATGTTAACGTATACGACATGCACGGTCACGGACACATGATTTTACATGTGCATGTCAAATTTATAAAAACATAGGGCACTGGACACATACGTGCGTATACACATGTAATATAACTTTAGAAAAGCAATTGATGGATTAGGTTTAATATTATTAGAATATTCAAGGCAGTTAATAAACAAATGCAACGCAAACTCATGATTCATGTAGTGTTACAGATCAAACCACTAATTGCTGAGAACCAAATTATTATACTTGTTTTTGTAACATATTAAAAAAAACAACACATGCTGTTTGATATTACTTAAAGACAAGGAAATTTTAACATATGATCATAACAAAGGACCCACATCATGGAACCAACTAAAAAATTGTCTGTATTTTCACTTACAGTCAAATTGTCAAAGTATCAAATCTTTTCGAATTGGACACAGTTGAGCTTATTCAATATGATTTCTGTGCTGTGTCCATAGAATGTCGATGCTGGACATGTATGGGCCTATGGGGACGTGTCTGGGAGCTTTAAAGAAGTGCTAGTACGTCATAGATTTTGGCTCTATCTTATTGACGCAATGTTTGTTTTTATAATAATATGATGAAAGTGAAGGAGAACTTGGATAACTCTTGCATATCTCTTCCACTTCTCTTGAGAAAATCAGTATTCTTTGCAGGAGTGTGATGCATGTCATTCTTTAAAACCTTCATATTGATGCCGGATCTTGTTTCATGTTAAGTACTGACGCATCTCTTATAGGCACATACCGACTGGAGTCCTCTTTGATCTCTTGTGTGCAGAACCAGAAAGACCATGGAATCTAACGGTATGCCATCTTCTTTTTTTCCCCTGCTAGAAAGGACCTTGCAAGATCATCATAAAGTCATGCTTATTCCATCGCCCTTATTCATTAATAACATCCATATTTGCCTGGGAGGTTCTTATCTATTAGGAAGTAATTATCAAGAATTTTTTGTGTTCTATTGTCTGATTTATGTTGTACTCTGTCATGGCATCAGAACCTTTTGAGTTTGATTCAATTATTTGGTTGTAACTTGTAAACTTGTAATGCATAACCATTTGAACTTACTTCTAAGGTCAAACGTAGTTCTTATTACATCTGATCGTAAGTCTGATATATTGGCATGAACTTGAAATCTGTCAAATCAGGCAAGTGGGAACTGGATTCATGAAATTGTATTAGAGGCCTCATTGAAGTATTTTTTTCAAAAGGAGAAAATATTTTAGAGACCCGCACTAGATATTTAATTTTCCTCTCCATATGTATTTTTACTTTAGTTCTCTTTTTCTTTGATATAATGCCATGCAGATATCAGAAAACTGGAGTCATGTGTCACAAGATTTTTTGGTCGATTTAACAAAACCTGTAGACATAAACTTAGCATTGCTGGTGCAAACTTTAATGTATTTTGAGACTGGTTCAAATATAAACCTTCAGAAGTACGTCTGTTAAAGTATTGTAGCTGATACTGAATGCTTGTTGCAAATGGTTAAGATCTTGTAGATGTTAGATGGCCTATCTACTGATAAATATCTGTTTCATTGATATTTATCTATTTTCGCCTATGTTGCATGGGTAGGGTACGGGTGCTAGTATAGGTCACAACAAATTTCTAAAATGTAGGGTACGGCGATATGACTATATAAATATTTATATACATATATATTACATATTGCAATTAATAATTAATATGAGAACAAGGATGAGAATGAAAAGTCCTATAATAGTTTTATGTTTCTTTTATTGTGGATTATAAATTAAAAATGCTAGTTTTTAAACTAGACGTCCACATGATCCTTCAAAATCATAATTCGGAACTTGACCTATGTCCGACGAGTTTCAAGAAGTGAGTGCGAAGTGTAAGATATATGTTCAGAAAATATATGACAAGTGTTTTAAATTAAAATATGTATATTATAATTGAGTGCATGCCCAAATAAATGCATGCATTTATGCAAGGAGTGTCCAAGGAGTTTGGGTACAGGAATGGGTACATGTCTAGTACGGGTACAACTTCAAATTAGAAGCACCCATGTAACATAAATTATTGCCTTTAGGATAAAATATGGATGTATCAATTGAGATGGTTGACTATTTGCATGTATGTCAACTAAGTTGCATGGGTATAGGTAGGGGTATAGCTGTACAGGCATGGGTGTGAGTACGGGCCACAACAAACTTGTAAAAGGTAGGGTATGGGGACATGACTATATATATGTATATATGTTATGTATATTTATATGTTTTTAAATTAATAATTTACATAGGATCAATATTGTTTTTTCTCTTACATAAGATCAATATAAGAAATAAATGTGAAGTGTAGAATATACATCTAAGAAGTGTATGAGGAATGTTTTAAATTAAAACATGTACTATTTAATTGAGTATACACTGAATAAACGTATACATATATTCAAGAAGTGTCCAGGAAGTTTCAACACGGGTACGGGTACATGTTAGATATGGACACAACTTCCTATTTGAAGTACCCATGTAACATAGGATTTCAGTAAATGCCGCAGTTAGGAGAAGTGATAGGATTAAGAACGTAAGCATATGAGAACTTGGTTGAAAGCAATAAAGAAAAATATGATAGTAGTTAATTATATGGAGGGAATAACCCTTGACATACTAAAATGGAAGAACATGATTTCATCTAGCTGACCCCAAATTTTGGTAAAAACGCTTTGTTGTTATTGTTGTATCACAACTTATTGCGAGTAAGCACGTAGATAGTGGTGATTTAACATAGTATTTTAGTATATATTTGCATATTAAGATGGCTAGTTACTGCATGTTCATTGTCATCATTATTTAAGAATTAAGATTTTCCATCTTTCAATTAGTGGTGGTACGATCCACTCTCTGAGACAAGTCTTAGAATTAGTGGTGGTACGATCCACTGTCTGAGGCAAGTCTTAGAAGTCTATGAAGACTTGACCAAGCTTTATGACTGTGGGTCAACCTGACATCATCTTTTATGAGTTGATTTACAATTCATGTGCAATAGTGGATCATACAAGTATAACCTGATCGCTAGACAGGTCAACCTACCTTTTTTTGTGCCATTCAATTTAAGAACTCTTGCAAGCAAGGTATAGCCCCTAAAATCTTACACCTAGAGAGCAGAGAGAATCTAAGCGAAGAAGAAAATTGATAGATTTTCTATTGGAATGTACATTAATTTTGAGCCAAAAAATAAGCCAAAGCTAAGGTTTTTATGTTTTTTTTTTAAAATTGCATTGCTTTGTTCACTAAAATGCACGCTAGTGTTTGGAAGCAGGAATTATTAGCTTGTCTGCTATATGTCACATCGATGTACTCTTTGAAACTAAGCCTGTTTTGGTTTGTGACAATTGTATTATGATTCTGCACCTTTTTAATTTTCATTACTGATGCTGGTAGGTTCATTTTAGAGCACATCCAGGGGAAACCTTAATTCCTTGTCAAGGTGAAGACAATGTAAAGTGGAGTTTTATCAATTCACTGAAAGAGGTATGACTTTTTAAAGATATTTGGTTGGAACTGAACCGAAATTATCCTACTTAAGAAAATATTTTACCTCTTATTAGCAATTAGTTGCGTTATTCAGAATCAAAAGTTATTACTACTCTGTATAACAACCTTACTGATGATTAATCAAGAAAAAGTACTCATATTTCTTATATTTTACTGATAAGATTACAAGTAAAGGGGCATAGGTCTAAAAGAACTTGGCTGAAACTTGAAAACAACTAAGAAGAATATGATAATATGTAACCTGATAGTACACATGACCCATAATAGAACTGAATGGAAATTTGGGATAAAAGTCCTTGTTATTGATCATGATGTTGTAGTACAATTTCATATCAAGAGCATGTGTGACAACTTGGTCAAAGGGAATTATAATCCACTCTTTGGGTTAGAAACTTAGAATCTGCTTCCGCATGTTTGGTAATCACAATTTGAGTGGATTATTTGGGATTATAATCCCATCAAAAATAACCTAGGCTTCATAAGTTACTATTTTGCTGGATTATAATCCACAGTTTGACCAAGTAAAAGAAAAAAAATTGCCCATCCCTTTTAGAATCAAAAAAATTGCCCATCCCTTTTAGAATCTCTTTCTTTCCCCTTTCTCTTTCCTCCCACATTTAAGAGTTTTTTTTGTCGTTTTAATAAAAATCACCGGGATTTTAAACCATTCTCTTTACCAAACACCGAAAATTTTAATCCACTTGGTTATAATCTTTTGATCTACAAAAGATTAGAACCCAAGTGGATTATAATCCAGACTTGTCAAAATTTCCCCAAGTTCTTGTATGTAAAGTATAAGTGGCTTTGGCTATTGTTCATCTAAGAAATTTAGATGACACTGTTGGTTATGGTGGTCTGGTTATGGTGGTGTTATGTAATAAGGTGCTTTTATCTGCAGGCAGCATATATTATTAATGGGAACTGCAAGAATGTCATGAATATGTCTGAGCCAGATCGGTTTGAGTTATGGCAATCATTGGTAAAAGGTATGAGTTTATTTTTCTTTATTTCTGTTAATTATCTTACTAAAGCGTGTCCTTTGTTCGTGATAGGCTAGTATATTCCTGTTTACCTTTACCCTAATATATACCAAATCCACTATCAAGTACAATGCTTTGATATATAGCTAATTTTTTCCCTTTTCTGTCTATCCATAAAAGAATGAAATATGCAGTATATGACATGCCCTAGGCTAGCGAGCACGTCGTTGCTTTGTAAGCCGCGAGAGCCACTTAGTGCAACAGGTAGTTTGACTCAATCCACTACAAAAAAATGCTAGCTATTGTTGCTACTAACTCCCTCGACTTACTATATAAATCCCTCTATGATCCTAACTTCTTACACAGAAACGATGTGGGACTATATCATTTTGGGGATCACAATCACCCCACCTTAAATACGCGATGCCCTTGTCACGACATGACAATAGTTCATTACAGGATAACCGCCAGGCAATATGAATTCTAGAGGCATTCTTATGAATTTTAGAGGTGGCTCCCACCACGCTACCAAAATGATATGGTCCCATTGCATGTGGAATGTAGATGGCCTTATATAGTTAGTCAAGGGAGTTAAGTAGCAGCAATAGCTAGCATTTTTGGTGGTGAATTTAGCCAAACAAGGTGTTGCACTCCATAGGTCCCATTGCTTACATTAAGCCAACGGGCTACAAACCAATGGACTGACTGAGTGCAACATGTTGTTTGGTTCAATTCACCTCCAAAATGTTGTCTCATTGCTACTTGACTCTATATTCACCCAATCTACATTCTCGCACACAACCGATGTGGGCCTGTATCATTGTGGGGTATCACAACTTCACAATTTTCCATTATGCAAGTGAGGCCCTTTAGTTAGCAGAAGAGCGAAAAACTTATGTTTTTTGTGAGATAAAGTAGGAAACAGTAAAGTGAGAAAGAGGTGACATGAATGTTGTTATATATTTATTTGACCTTTTTTATCTTCACCTTCTTTGTTTTAATTTTTTCGTTGTAGATTTTTTTAATCCTCACTTTTTAACTTTCGTTCATGACTTCTGAACCTTTGAAGGGTAGTCATTTTTTAAAAGTGATTCTTAGTCTCTCTTGAGTGGCGAAAAATTTAAAGTGATTCTTAGTCTCCCTTGAGTGGCGATTTTTTTTAATCCTCACTTTTTAACTTTCGTTCATGACTTTTGAACCTTTGAAGGGGTAGTCATTTTTTTAAAGTGATTCTTAGTCTCCTTGAGTGGCGAAAATTTTAACGCTTATTTTACTCAAAACACACACCCAAAATGCTTGGAAATTACTCTGTTTTCACATCTCTATTCTCATTTTTATCCAGACAAACATCGATTTGGTGTTTAAATTGATTGAGATTGTCATTAATTCCATAACGTGTCATGCTAATTGATGCAGTCTTGTTAGGGCTGCAATCAGATCAACATTCAGAAACTCAGAAAGAAAGAGAGCAGAGCACACTAGATAAAAACGACCACAGCCAAAACAAGTGTTTTATCAAAAAACTAACTTCCTACATCTAGCAAAAGAGTCTTTTATAGATTCAATAATAAAAAATTCGTAAAATAATATTTTTACCAAAAATAGAAACCTGCCAAGAAAAATCATTCTAGCTGGATTATGGATCCTTCTTATCAATTTTGAGCCAAAACAGATGCATTTTACCCCTCAAAATCTGACAGCTTGCGGAAAATGTCCGAAAATTTGACAGCAATTTTGAACCCCAGAACGATAGAATTCTGCAATTCTGACGGAGGCTAATGGATACGTGTACGGCAATCCTATTGACCGGGACAATTTTGTGAGCTTCAATTAGGCTTGTAACTTGTGCGAGTCAGACAAGTTTGGCTCTTATAGGATGGAACTGGTCCATATAGGCTAGGGCTGCCTGTAGAGCTGCATCACTAACACCATTTTAGACAGATGAGTTGGGCCGCTCTACTTAAGAAGACATCCCAGAACTATCAGCAATTTTTTCTATCCTGAAATTCTTCAGATTCATTTTCTATCTCAAAATCCTATTTTACAAATATTTCAAATCATAATGGAATCAACTTTGATTGAAAAAGTACAGGCCTTGCTCTTAATGTTGAAGGAGCATTTTCTGGAGAGTCCTTGCAAAAGTTTATTGTCGAAGCAGCAAATCTCCCTGGGGAAAAATTCTAGACCCTTATCCAGATAAGAGAGTCTTTGGGTTGCTTTACATTGCTAACACCTTATGATCTCAATCTCCTGTATGAGTTGTTGTGCATAATGTAGGTTCTTTCAACGTACAATATTTATTTTTCTAGCAGAACCAAAGTTGGTGCTCTTTATATGTCAACACAAGCTCCACTTCTCCTATCTGCTCTACATCATTTATTTTATTTATTTTCAGACGTGACCCCTCTTTTCAAGCTTGCTCTCCATGCTGTTTTTGCTCAGTGTTATATTGTAGGCTTTATATTTGTCACATTATGTATAACTCCGGTGAGAATCATACATTGTTTCTCCTACTTGTTTCCAAGTTGTACTGACAAAAGGTTACATCAGGTGACATGGATAGCTATCATCGGGTGTCATCTAAGCTTAAGCTTGGGCCAGTTGGAGAAGATTGCATGATCAGAATGCTTTCATCTGCTGGACAACCTCAGCAAGCTACTGGAGAAACTGATTCTGTTGGACCCAACCGATCATGTATAGTTCTTTCTCTCTAAAGGTGCTTTTAGTTTTTATATTAGCAGATGTTTTTTAGATATGATATGATCAATCAAAGAGAAACACCTATGTTCTTCCAAAAAATAAAATAAAATAAAATAAAATAAAATGAAAAGAAGAGAGAAACACCTTCATGTTTAATAGCAAAAAATGGCAGATCTTTGAAGAAAAGAATATGACTACGCTAACTACAGATATGCAATCTTTTTTCTTCAGAATGAACTTGGATAGATTCATCTCTTCATCTCAATGATTGAGATCACACCAGGCAGAAAGTTGTAATTCATTATCAAAGAACGTCAGTTCTTAAGAAGGGAATATTTGTTCAACTAACTAAATTTGATATGAATATTTCGTAGCTCTCATCCATGTTAAAGATACCATACATAAAGTGATTCAAAACCGTTTATCTAAAACAATTAACTTGTTAAAGTTAAACAGTACAAATAAAGAACAGAAAATTTGTACTCCTGGATTTGATTGGTCAGACCTGCTGAGTGCTCACCCACAGTGCAAGGGTTAGACTACTTTGCAGTGGGCAGTAGGTTCAGGTTTCACTTTCACATTCGAGCCGCATCAGGCTTAAAATAAGAGATGTGAATCTCATAATCTGGTCCCTTTTTTACATGTTTTTGTCAATCCAATGACATAATTGTCAAGCCTGTCACGTAAAATTTTGATTATATTTAAATTAGTTTATAAAGACAGCATCATTCTTGTTATTATTAAGTTCAAAATAAACTTAAAACTACAATGTGTTAATCATAGTATCAATTGTAAGTAATGTATTGGCAGAATGCCTGGATATTTAAGTAGTATTTTTCAACCAGATAAGAGGAAGGTAGAAATGCCAACAGAAAAGAAACCTTGCGTGAAGCTGGATACTCGCTGCAAATAAATTGTAGGAAGAAATAAACCATTATGTACTTTAGTACCTTCCAACTAAGCTTATTTCTTGCGTTTCTATGCCTTCTCAAACATTGAAAATCCATGAATCAAACTAGTAAGGACTCATAGTGTTCATTTTACTTTTGGTAGAACATTGTAGGGGGTCGTACGTTCTTCAGGTTCCAACTACTGATTTTTCTTTTGTCACTGAATCTTTGGTCAGGCAGAATTCCTGTACGGTTGTATGTACGGAGTGTAGGTGAAGAGATTGAAGACATAGAAGATGCAAGTGCAATGGATAGTTGGGATAAATTCTCATACATAAACCGACCAGTTGAGGTACACAAGGATGAAGGTACAAAAATACCTCTATAAACTTTCCTGTCTGTTTACTTTCCATGCCCCTTCTTGTCCTATATATTATTGAAATCCTTTTGCTTTATTGATTACATTACATTATCTACGTTTCTGTAACATTAGTATGTTTTGACAAGACTTCTCTGAGCAATTTCTAAATTTGGTTAATTACAGATACACCTCTTGTACTATGATGGTTCAACCACTTGTAAGCTGTAAACTTTTTTTATTAGCACTTACTACTCCCTGATCCTTAAATGGAGAAAAATACACTCTTATTTTTGAATAAAATGAGGAAAAAGGTAACTTAGCTTCATGTGATCACCACATGACATCTCCAGCACACACGGGGTAAAAGTGCTAATAAAACAGTTTGGGGGGTAGAAGTTGCTACACATCTTGGTACGTGTGGTGTATCTGCATTTAACCCTTCCGAATTTGTCATTCTGAGTTCCAGCCACTGATCGTGCTTTTGTGCAGGTTGCAATCTCACATTAGAGACTGCCGTGAAAAGATTACTGCCAGAGATCTTTGAGGATGAACCCTCAACTAGAGGATATGTATGTCTGAAGAAAGAAGATGGTGGCTCTAAAGATGGAGAAACCACGAAGGGAGATGATGCTTCAACCACAGGCCAACAAGAGACAACTTCATCTAGGAAGTCCAGAATTAAGCTCATTCGTATTCAAGGGATTGAATTAGACCCTCAAATTCCCTTCCATTGGGTGGTTAACAACTTGAAACACCCTGAATACTATCTTCACATCTGTGTATTTGTTGGGTCACCTCTTCCAACTAGAGTAAGATGATAAATGGTTTCGACGTTACATTTCTTCTTTCATTTATTATTTTTTTTGGAAAGTTGTACAGAAATATATTTCAGACTCATTATATGGAAGCGTGTGATTAGAATCGTGTTAAGTGAAACAACGCCGTTCCGTTAACAGGGGGTGCAGAACTTTGTCATCTTTTGTACGCACAGGATCAGCAATATCTTCCTGTTAAAAAATCTTGGAAAGTAATGTTTTTGGGCGATAACTTGGTTTGTGAGACCATGTTATTGACTTTGGGGGCAGGTATTGATCGAATTTGGCCACAGTTTGACACGGAAGCAGAAAACGCTGGCTCTTTTTTTCTTTTTTCTTTTTTTTCTGATAGCGGAGCAGCACAAGAAACCTCAGCATTAAAAGGTATCACGTTTACGGGCATGAGGGAGTGTTCTACATACACCGTGGACCACTCCGAAATTTTCTTTGTACGGCTCAGAAATTTGGGTAAAGATAATGACAAATTTTAGGGTTATTTCCCCCTAATCAATATGCACGAAGATAACAACTAGTTCCAAACAGCTCAGATGCAACAACAAGATCCAGAGATGGCACTCATCACCTACCGCTGCAAAACAATACGCTGCATCTCCCACCTCACCCCCCCATTTTTAGGAGGGAAAACCACATCCCTGGATCTTCTGGAACCAAAAAAAAAATCAAAAAGGCATTAAAATTACTGCTGCTGCTTCTTCATCAGCTACAAGCACAAGTGCAGTCCTCGCCCCTCTCTGTTCTCACCGCCCGTCTTTTGGTTCTCTACTTCTTTATCAGGGACACATCTTCTATACGGCACGAAACCCTGGCAAGGTTTGTTTTTTGTTGCTTTCAGGCTCCTGAAGGCTGATGTTTCGCTTGGTCTGAACTTCAAACTAACATTCGGGGGGCCACTTCCATCCTCAACGCTTGATTCACCTCTGGGTACGGTGTTAGAACCAGCGAAAGAAGTCTCGGTCTCCCTCTCCCCTGACTTCAAACGCTTAGCGGCAGCAACATCTGATGCTGCATCGCCGCAAAAGCCCCATAAATAGGGCATGGAAACAGAAGCGGACATTGAAACTCCACTAGACGGCAAAATATAGAACATCGGAGCCGCATTCCATTGGTTAGTAGAGGTCGGAGCTTCATAGGGCTGCTCTGCATCATCAACGGTGGAGCACAATGGCTTTTGTGTGTCCGCGACAATAACAGTCTTCCCAAATAGCTTCAGACTAGTTGCAGGTGATTCCGCTGGCGAAGCTTCATTATCAGGGATGCTATCATCAGTGCCCATATCCAATTCCTGTAATTTTTAGCCCAATTAGAACAAACACATCACATCAAAATCGCACCTTCACGATGTTTTTTTATTTAATAAAGTGTATACCATATCAGTTGTTTTCAAAGATTTATCATCATCCTCCACCGAAGTAGTTGTTGAATGGCCTACATCATCTTGTTCACCAAGTGAAGTCTCAACTTGCTCAGATGAAGCTGGAGATGCATTACTGCTCATGATACCAGAAGCTGAAGAAGAATGGAAGGTATCGGACCCAACCACTGATAAAACCGATGTTGGTGATCGGTTTTCTTGTTCATTTGATAGCAGCTTCGATTCAGAGACAACCGAGAGCTTAGGTATCAAAGACCAAGCTCCTTTCTCCACAGCTGGAATACTCGGTGAATTACCAAGTTTACGAGGATAAGGGTGAAGTGGTTTCCTTTTAGGCCTTGGAGGAGGTATAGAGAGAGTTTTCGACTCATCTGAATTATCACCATTTGATTCAAGAACAACCTGCAGGCATTAACATTATTAATGTTTTGAACACAATAAAGGGTAATTATAACTGACACACCGCCGCCATGAGTGATTTTACTTACTTTTAGAGTAAGACCACCCATGAATACATTAAGGCAGGGGAATAGTTACTGGAAGAGAGTATTACACCTTTGTGAAAAACTTCTGGGCATGGCTTCGAATTTGGACTGCAGTCTTTGTGCCTATATGCTCTGTAAACAAATAAATCTATGTTGAGAACAAGGAAGAAAGTAATGCATAGCACTATGATCACCAATCTCAATTTGGTATGAAAAATACCTTCTATTTGGCGCCAAGCTCGACCATACAACTTCAAAGCTTCTAGAAATTTGCCGTGCTCTTCATCAGTCCACCTCTCTCGTTGTTTTGTTATCGTGTAAGGTTTTCTAACCTGCAAGACAGCACGGATTGTGATGAGATATAGTCAAGAAAGTTTAAGTGGCAAAAATAAAATCATCTCTATTGAGAGATTATGAAGATATGGACCTTAATAGCATGCTCCAAGACTGAAGAGGCCATAGTTTTCTTCGTCTGCAGCCAATTCTCAGATGTTGTTTTGTTATCCAAACACAAAGGATTACTGGGCATCCCGGAGTATGTCCAAATTTGGCTTCCACCTTTTACCTAGAAGGAATTTAAAGGACAAATTAGATTTTGCATTTATCTTTCTTTGCTGATAACTTGAATACAATCTAAAACACTCACTACAAAAACTCCACCCGCTAATCATTTCTAGATAAGCTTAATCTAAAAAGAAAACTATCCAACAAAGCAAGCAAAATCTTCTGATAGGCCTCATTTGAAGAGAGAATGAACTTTTTTTTTGATTTTTTTTTTTTTGTTAAGAATATCTGTCTCAACTTAGATATTAATCTAAAATATCCTAAAACATGACACTAATATTTCACATAATCCCTAGGTGCCGTTCTGCAAAGGCAAAGGCTTAACCGAGGAGTTAAGGAGACTTAACCGCTTCTTAATCCACCAAAGACAAAAATAAATAAATAAATAAATAATAAAATAAAATAAAAAAAATCTCCAAACAATGGTTAAAGTGAGTTAACCCTCTATAACTTGTCAAACGCAACAAATATAAAAATTTTAAGCTAACCCTTCTGAAGGGATTAAAATGAGTTAACCACACAAAATAAAGAGTTTACAAATACTCCTATTTAGATGGATTAAGAGTTATTCCTAAACACTAGAGATGATTGTGAAGAGTCACGTGGGGGGGATCATGTTGTGTTAGCTTGTGGGGGCCACCACCACATTCCCAAAGCACGTGAAGAGATCAGTTTTTCTTGGTGACGTGAAGAATTGTAAATCCACCTGACGCGTGAAGAGCTAGCCCACGACCCGAGTCCAGTACAAAGCCATATATATACTCTTGTTAGGGTTTCATTTGTAGGTAAAATTCTCTCCTTTATCAGTTTGGATCTATTCTTCATTTGTTGGTGCTTTGAGATAGTTGGCCGAGATAGAAGGATTTGATGCTGGGTTATTTGTTTATTGATACGGTGCATTGGATTATTGAGGAGTGCTTTGACCTACAGTTTGAAGTCCTGTGAACCCATTGGTATCAGAGCTCGGGCTACGCTTGGGCTATTTAGAGGAGTAAATCAATTTGAAAGTTCGGTTAGGGCTTCGACATATTCGAGCCATCTTATTAAAGAGTTGTCAACTGCTGTGATAGGAGGTAAAACTCAATTGGGTGTTAGGTATGGTAGTGTCACTTTGGTTGAGGCTTCGATGAGGAAGCTAATTGACTCTCAGCAGGTGGAGAGTTTTTGACAGACCTTAGATGTATCGCAACGGGTGGAGAGTGATGCTACTCCACATTGGGTGAAGATTACTCCAGATCATACTGTATTGTTTGGGATTCCAGCTGAGGTGACATAGCTTAGGGATCATTTGGATTTATGTGCAGATGATGAGTTGGGTTTTGAACCGAGTGCAGCTGACAGACATAGTTTGGATATGGTCATTGGTTCACCTCAGGTGGAGGTGTTTGAGGTCATTGGAGGTGCTATCAGCGGCAGAGTTGATGATATTGGAAAAGAGTTGCGAACTCTTCTATTGGATTGAGGTCGTTCGCGGCCATTTGGGTGAACTACGTTCGGCTTGATTCCTTAGGCAAGAGGATACGTAGGCAGTCTTATGATGCAGCCGGGTTGGATTATTTGATGGGGGTGAGATCGATTTGGTGAGTTGATACTGACATTTGGAGAGTGTTTACATTCTCATTTGGGTTCTCGACTTGTTATGGATTGAGTCCGTTATCGTGAATTATTTTACTTCGTACTGGACACAACAAGTGAGACATTTGGTTTAGTTGGTGTCGGCTCAGTTTTGAGAAAACTTCACCGAGGTGGAGAATTGTGAAGAGTCACGTAGGGGGGAGATCATGTTGTGTTAGCTTGTGGGGGCCACCACCACATTCCCAAAGCACGTGAAGAGATCAGTTTTTCTTGGTGACGTGAAGAATTGTAAATCCACCTGACGCGTGAAGAGCTAGCCCACGACCCGAGTCCAGTACAAAGCCATATATATATTCTTCCTAGGGTTTTGTGAAAACGTGTGCAAGGTAGGCTTCGTGAGGGAAAAATAAAGGCGCAGAAGAGAAAAATCTCGGCGGCTGTGCGAAGGAGGTTTGGGTGACTGTGCAAGGACGGCGTATTTCGGCTGTGAGTCTCTTTTCGGCAAAGAAGAAAACAGCTGCAGCAGGAAAACGTCCTAGGTTTTGTGAAGAGAGAAAAAGTATTTGGAGGCTGACCTTTTCTTATGAAGAAAAACAAGGAGCCTATTCAAGGGTTTAGATTGTGAGAGTTGTAAACTCATTTGTATTTTTTTTTCTCTATAATAGTAGATCCCCCCTCCTTGCCCCGTGGACGTAGGCAGTTTGTCGAACCACGTAAAATTAGTTTGTTTGAGTTTGTGACCATTATAATAGTTTTTAGGATCCCTCGACGCGTAGTCCTAGAGCTGACGAGAGAAAGAGTTAATATCTCACTTTGATGAGATATTAGGCTTCAGATTCTTATTTCCTTTGAGATACAAGAATTCTTATCGATCTTTTTCTCTTATTGTGCACCAGAAACTCTACCGAAATTTCCGCTGCGCACAACACTATTTATAAATATAAATAATCAAAATCATCGTTATTCCTAAACACTAGACATGATCACAATGGCTAAAGAAAAACTTATTTAATAGGCTAATAATTTAGTTCTTTTGGTTATTGAATGAGCTAACTACATTAATCCTTCTCCTTAATTCCTCTTCCTTAATCCCTCTTCCTTAACGCTTTGCCGCCGAATAAGGCCCTAAATAATAATTAAAATTTGGATTTAATTAATAGAAACAAACTTACAAAGAGATCTTAACTAGATATTTATCAGAAAAAAATTTGAGTTTCGAAAAAAAAAACCAGGAGTTAAGAGCAGATCAAACAACAAAATTACTAATTTTACCATCTAAACTCAAAAGGCAAATATTAATAGAATTCCTCAATTTAAAAAGAAGTTCAAAAAATTAAAAATTTTCGCTTTATAATATCAAACATGATTAGACAGTAAAAATTTGCAGAAATAATCTCCAAAACTAATCCTTATTTAATCTCGTCAAATAGTACCACGAATCGATAACAAACTAAAGCTCCACACTCGAACCTTCTCCATTCTTCAGCTCAAATTAAAGAAATTGACTCAAAAATCCATCAAACTTTAGATCTCAGTATTTTCTACCAAGATCTACCGCTTCAATCACCAAAACTCAACAAAAAATCAGACTTCTCACCAAAATATAAAAAAAAAGAACCTTAAAGACACGTTCTTCTCATATTTCTTTCAAATTCAATCTCAAATTAACAGATTCATAATCATCAAAAATAAAATGAATCAGATCAGACACAGCTAAAATAGTTAACAAGGTCAAAACAAAAAAGGAGGGGGTTTTCCCTAGCAAATACCTTGCTCAGCGGAAGCTTGATCTCCGATTTCGATCGAAAACCCTAATAATTCTTAAATTAATAGGAAAATAGAAGAGAGAACAGAAATCGAGAGCAGCGAAAAAAAAAATTTGAGAGAGACTCTGGTTTTGAGGGCGAGGAGGAGGCCAGAGGGGGGGGGGCAAGAAGAGCTCGATTCTTGTGGCTGAGGCTTCACGACCTTACGGACACGTGGCGGTTCGTTGTCGTGCACCCTCCGCTTTTTGCACTTTCTCTCTCTTTCTTAGTGGGGTATAGAAAAGCGTAGACCGGATAATTACTTTATTTTTGTTTTCTTTTTTGTTTCTTTATTTTTTATTTTTGTTTTGTTTGTGATTGATAATTGATAATATTAAATAATTATCTGAAATCTTTTTATGAGGTCAGCTGGAAAATATCTGGGGCCGCACGAAGCATCAAGAGGCTGCGGGATGGAGAGCGAGATCGGATAATCATAACTTTTTTTTTTTTGGGAAGAAAACAAAAGATTATATTTAAATACAAAAGATTATCTTTCAGATTATATCCGAAAAGATTTGCTAATGTTTAAAGCTAAGTTATGCTAAAATTAAAAAAAGTAGAGGTGGCGTTTTCTTCTTTTTCCCCTTCCTAAGTTTATCATTAGTTTTGAATTGAGAAAAAAAAACATGAGTAATTTGTTCAGTAAAAATTATAATTATAATTCTCATACTCTATGAAAATTTATGTATTATTAAGAACTCTACACTTTTGTTTTTTTATTGTATTAATGTAGTTTATGTTTGTTGTGTACTGATCACTACTCCTGGTTAATATTACTCAAAGGTCAGATTTTATTAAGCTATTGTATAACTCTATTTACATAACATTATATAGAAAAGTAAACACGAGTTTAGGAACTTTAGTTGAAACTTTCTAGCTAAAACTTTATATATATTGGGGAAAGCGCTTTCTCTCTCTATATATAAATAAATATATAAAAGAAATATATAGAGGAAATATCTTTCACGTGTGTTTGTTGGGCTATTTATGTAAAAAAAAATATCAAGGAAAATATCTCCAACCGCTAAAAATAAGGGGTGAATACTAGCCAAGAGATACTATCGACGACTAAGCTGCACCGCCAAAAAGCGCAAAGAAAAAGTGCAGGTGAACTTTTTCTCCACGTCATCGCATCTCGCAGCCTCCTCTTCTCTATCCTCTCGACACGTGACACACGCCAGCTCAACGGAGGAGAAACCGGCGAGAGTTTCTCAGCCACAACGATTATTAAAATAATGTGGGAAAATAGGAGGCCACATGAGTTTGTTTTAGGAAAGAAAAGTGCGGACCACGGAGTGGTAGTTAAGTTGCTCCGCGGGTATAGCGAATGTATGTTAGAGAGGGACGGTAGTGATGGATGGGGACCTCGGTGGAGTTGGGAGGGGCACCCGGGGATTTTGTGGTTGGAATTAAAACACTGATGAACACTTTATAAAGACTTATCCTCTGATTAAAGTTAGTAATAATAATTATTTTTTTTCATTTATAAAATCTCTAAATCTCCCAATCAAACAACTATGTGTTTAGCGAGCATTGGATGTTTTTTTTAAAAGTAAAAATAGGTCAGATGCCCTATTCAAATATGTAGACAGAACAAAAATAATGTACAGAGAACGACAATTCTAACGAGAAGAAGGTTTTTTCCGCTTAGGCCCTCAAAATTTTGTTGGAGTTGTAACTTAAAACTTAGGTTTGTAGAGAAAAAGAGAAAAAGTTTAGTCTCATATTGAAAAAGAGATGGGAAGATAGGTTCTTTATAAGCCTTCTTTTTCTCTCCTATGCCTAGAAGAAAATAAAGGTTATGCTCCACACCACACACGCGCGTGCCGGCCAGGTCGGGCTCGGGGTCAGGTCGGGAGGCGCGTGCACATGACCTGCGAACACGAATACAGCTCCAGATTAATGGGCTCTTAATCTGCTATATTTTTGCTTTTGCTAATTTGAACCGTTTAAAAATTTGTGGTTAATGAATAACAGAAATATTTTGTAACGGCTAAGATTTATTAACGTGATAAATATTTTGCGAATTTATTTTGTAACAGAAATATTTTGATTTTGTAACGGCTAAGATTTATTAACGTGATTAAAAATGTATTAACTGCGAGTTTATGAATAACGACTGTTTCAATCCTATAAAAGGACATAGCCGCAAGAGCTTAAACACAGTGCAAAATACAACGTATTTCTAACCTTTATTTATTTTCGTTTGAATTAATTTCATTTCCAAGTTATAATATTTATCTGATATTATCTGATTTAATCATCAACTGTTCAAAACTTAATTTGTGTTAATTACTATCTAAACAGCTCGTATTTTCCAACAATCCAAGAATCTAATTGCCCCCTCTCGTACATGGCTACGCGGCAAAAGTTATCGGAGATACAACGACCCTCGGTCAGGCGACCTCCTTCTCGTCGGCACGAGCTTCAAGAAGGCTATGCGAAGATTGTCTAATAACTACTATAGAACCAGACAACCCATCTTCATCTAGACCAGTTACTAGGCAATCTTCCTCATCTTCCTCCACAAATTCCATTCCTATCCCGAGAACACCTCAAGAAATAGAGTATCATTGTCTACATAGAATCTTAGGAGCCTTATCTGATAGGTCATATGATATATATTATACTATCACTAATATTAAAGTTCTATGGGAAACACTAGAGAAAAAGTATGGTTTAGATGATATGGGAATTAAAAGATTTAAAGCTTCTGATTTTAACAAATTTAAAATGATAGATTCTAAACCAATGAAAGAGCAAATTAATGAATTTGAACATATAGTTCACCAATTAAAAGTGAATGGATCTATTAAAAGTGAATGGATCTATCCTAGATGAAACGATTCAGATAGCCTGTCTTATAGACAAACTTCTCGAGTCCTGGTCAGATTTTACCAAAAACCTTAACCATACCCAAGAAGATCTTACCCTAGAGCAAGTGTTGAATTCCATTAGAATTGAAGAGCAACATAGACTCAGGGAGACAAATATGACAAAATCGGAACCCAAAGTAAACAATATTGAATCCAAACCCTTTCCCCAACACAAGAAACGTCCCTTCCACCAAAATCAAAATAAAACATTTAAGAACAAATCTTTTCATCAAAATAAGAACCCTGTTCACTTTCAAAAGAAGGAAGGAGCTGAACGTCAAGCATGTTTCGTTTGTGGACGAACCAACCACCTTGCTAAGGACTGTTTTTACAAGAAGACAGAACCACCCAAGCCTAGGAAGGGAGGACCTCCACCTAATAAGTCACAAGTAAACATGGTGACTTCCAGTTCAGCTGAGACTGCTTTCAGGTCTGTTCTCTTCACCCCTGAAGTAAACATGACCTTTCAAGCAAATGATTGGTGGATTGACACTGGAGCTAATATTCACGTTTGCTCTAATCAATCTTTGTTTTTCACCTATCAGGTCTCAAGTAGAGAAACTGTGACAATTAGAAATAATAATGTGACTCCTGTATCTGGAATAGGTCGGATCAACCTAAAGCTGACTTCGGATAAGACTTTGATCCTGTAGGATGTCCACCATGTACCAGACATTAGGAGAAATTTAATTAGCGGATCTTTATTAGTGCAACAAGGCTACAAACTTGTTTTTGAATCAAATAAAGTTGTAATAACTAAGAGATTGAACTTCATTGGAAAATGTTTTTTATGTGATGGTCTTTTTAAATTGAATGTTAAGAATTCTACTCTTGCATCTCCAATAGCTTTGAATATCGAACCTTCTATCACTTGGCATCAAAGATTAGGACATGTGAATTATAATTCAATTAAAAGATTAATGCATCTCAATATAATTCCAAAGCTTAATATAAAAGATGATGGTGAATTATAATTCAATTAAAAGATTAATGCATCTCAATATAATTCCAAAGCTTAATATAAAAGATGATGGAAAATGTAAAATATGTGTAGAAGTTAAACTTCCTAAGAAACCCTTTAAAACTATTGATAGAGATTCTGAGATATTAGAACTCATTCATAGTGATGTTTGTGATTCTGAAAGAACATCTAGAGGAGGTAACAAATATTTCGTAACTTTTATAGATGATTGTTCTAAATATTGTTACCTCTACTTAATTAAAACCAAAGATGAAGTTATAAACAAATTTAAAATATATAAAGCAGAAGTTGAAAATCAATTGAATAAGAAAATTAAAATACTAAGATCAGATCAAGGTGGTGAGTACACTTCTAATGAACTAAAACAATTTTGTGAAGAGAATGGAATCATTCATGAAATAACTACTCCATATACACCTCAATCTAATGGAGTAGCTGAAAGAAAGAATAGAACATTAATGGACATGGTAAACTCAATGTTAATTAATTCTGGTGTGTCAGAAAACCTGTGGGGAGAAGCTCTCATGACTGCTTGCCATATACTAAATAGAATTTCATTCAAGAATTCTGATAAAACACCTTACACAATTTGGAAGAATAGAAATCCAAATTTAGATCACCTGAAAGTGTGAGGATGCTTAGCAAAAGTTAAAATACCTGAGAATAAGAGAAAAAAGATTGGACCTAAAACTGTAGATGGAATATTTATTGGCTATGCTTCTGATAGTAATATAAATAGATTTTTAATAATCAGCTCTGATATTAATGAGATAGCCAACAACACCATAATTGAAGCTAGAGATGTACATTACTTTGAAAATATTTTCCCTTATAAGACCGGAGTAAACAACACAGGCCCTAGCTCTAGTAATTCAGATCCTAGTTCTAACCAAGGTGAAACTAGTTCTAAACAAATTAGACCACTAGAAAGTCCAGAGGAGCCTAGGAGAAGTAAAAGAACTAGAATAGAAAAGGTCCATGAAGATTTCTATGCATTACTTGTAGAAGATTCTCCAATTACATTTGAAGATGCAATGAAATCAGTAGATGCTCCATTTTGGAAGGAAGCTATAAATAATGAGATACAATCTATAGTTCAAAATCATACTTGGGAATTAACTGATCTTCCTTCAGGCTGTAAAACTATAGGATGTAAATGGGTATTTAAGAAGAAACTCAGACCAGATGGAACAATAGATAAATATAAGGCCAGATTAGTAGCTA